TAAGTAGTGCAGGTATCTTATAACTGAGTGTCTTGGCCCATTTGTACTGCTACCTGAGACTTTATAAATTTTTCTTAATTTATAAAGAAAAGAAATTTATTTTCTCACAGTTCTGGAGGCTGGTAGGCCCCAGATCAAGGTGCTAGCATGTTTGGTGTCTGGCGTGTACTGCCCTGCTTCCAATATGGTGCCTTGATGCTGTATCCTCTTGAGGAGAAGAGTATTGTTTCCTCACCTGGCAGAAGTTAGAATGGCAAAAGGGACAGACTTTCTGTGTCAATCCCTTTTATAAGGACATCTAATCTCATTAGTGAGGGAGGAGCCCTCATGGCCTATTCATCTCTTAATGATTATACCACTTACTCTCTCACTGGAACACCTGAATTTTGGAGGAAACACATTCCAATCATAGCACAGAGTACTCCACATTCCTTCTTCCAGCCTCTTGTAACACCACTATTATTCATTTCACTTATCCATAGACAATTTATTACTGTTATTATTTTGAACAAGCTATTATATGTTGGATCATTGTGGATCAGTTAAGAATAACAAAGTATTTTATTTACCTTTATTTATTCCCGCTCTAACACTATTGTGTTTGTGTGTGTGTGTGTGTGTGTGTGTGTGTGTGTGTAAGACAGGGTCTCACTCTGTCCCCCAGGCTGGAGTGCATTGGCACAATCACAGCTCACTGCAGCCTCAACCTCCCAGGCTCTAGTGATCCTGCTGCCTCAGCCTCCCAAGTAGCTGGGACTATAGGCAGGTGCCAACACGCCTAATTTTTTTTTTTTGGGGGGGAATATATTTTGCAGAGACAAGAGTTTCACCATGTTTCCCAGGCTGGTCTCAAGATCCTTCTGGCTTGGATTAAAAGTGTAAGGCACCACGCCTGGCCTGTGCCTTTTTAATGCAGATGAGAATTTCTCAACTATATCATTTTCCTTCTCTCTTAAGAACTTTTAGCAATTCTTGCAAGGCAAGTCTACTGGCAGCAGATTCCTTCATTTTTGTTTGTCTGAGAAGGTCTTTATTTCTCCTTTACTTGTGAAGGGTAATTTAATGGAAGAATTCTAGGTTGATGGTTCTTCCTTTGAACACTTTTTTTTTTAATTACATTTTAGGTTTTGGGGTACATGTGAAGAACATGCAAGATTGTTGCATAGGTACACACATGGCAAGGTGATTTGCTGCCTTCCTCCCTATCGCCTATATCTGGCATTTCTCCCCATGCTATCTCTCCCCACCTCCCCACGCCCCTGTCCCTCCCCCATTTCCCCCAACAGACCCCAGTGTGTAGTGCCCCCCTCCCTGTGTCCATGTGTTCTCATTGTTCAACACCCGCCTATGAGTAAGAACTTGCAGTGTTTGATTTTCTGCTCTTGTGTCAGTTTACTGAGAATGATGGTTTCCAGGTTCATCCATGTCCCTACAAAGGACACAAACTGATCGTTATTGATGGCTGCATAATATTCCATGGTATATATGTACCACATTTTCCCTGTCCAGTCTATCATCGATGGGCGTTTGGGTTGGTTCCAGGTCTTTGCTATTGTAAGCAGTGCTGCAGTGAACATTCGTGTGCACGTGTCCTTATAGTAGAACGATTTATAATCCTTTGGATATATGCCCAGTAATGGGATTGCTGGGTCAAATGGAATTTCTATTTCTAGGTCCTTAAGGAATCGCCACACTGTCTTCCACAATGGTTGAACTAATTTACACTCCCACCAACAGTGTAAAAGTGTTCCTATTTCTCCACATCCTCTCCAGCATCTGTTGTCTCCAGATTTTTTAATGATCACCATTCTAACTGGCATGAGATGGTATCTCAATGTAGTTTTGATTTGCATTTCTCTAATGACCAGTGATGATGAGCATTTTTTTCATATGTTTGTTGGCCTCATGTATGTCTTCTTTTGTAAAGTGTCTGTTCATATCCTTCACCCACTTTTGAATGAGCTTGTTTGTTTTTTTCTTGTAGATCTGTTGTAGTTCTTTGTAAATTCTGGATACCGGCACTTTGTCAGATGGGTAGACTGCAAAAATTTTTTCCCATTCTGTTGGTTGCCGATTCACTCTAATGACTGTTTCTTTTGCCGTGCAGAAGCTGTGGAGTTTGATTAGGTCCCATTTGTCTATTTTGGCTTTTGTTGTCAATGCTTTTGGTGTTTTGGTCATGAAGTCCTTGCCTACGATTATGTCCTGAATGGTTCTGCCTAGATTTTCTTCTAGGGTTTTTATGGTGTTAGGTCTTATGTTTAAGTCTTTAATCCATCTGGAGTTAATTTTAGTGTAAGGCGTCAGGAAGGGGTCCAGTTTCTGCTTTCTGCACATGGCTAGCCAGTTTTCCCAACACCATTTATTAAACAGGGAATTGTTTCCCCATTGCTTGTTTTTGTCAGGTTTGTCAAAGATCAGATGGTTATAGATATGTTGTGTTGCCTCCAAGGCCTCTGTTCTGTTCCATTGGTCTATATCTCTGTTTTGGTACCAGTACCATGCTGTTTTGATTACTGTAGCCTTGTAGCATAGTTTGAAGTCTGGTAGTGTGATGTCTCCTGCTTCGTTCTTTTTGCTTAGAATTGGCTTGGCTATATGGGCTCTCTTTTGATTCCATATGAAGTTTAAGGTGTTTTTTTCCAGTTCTGTAAAGAGGGTTATTGGTAGCTTGATGGGAATAGCATTGAATCTGTAGATTACTTTGGACAGTATGGCCATTTTCACAATATTGATTCTTCCTAACCATGAACATGGAATGTTTCTCCATCTGTTTGTGTTCTCTCTTATTTCGTTGAGCAGTGGCTTGTAGTTCTCCTTGAAGAGGTCCTTTATGTTCCTTGTTAGTTGTATTCCTAGGTATTTTATTATCTTTGTAGCAACTGTGAATGGTAGTTCGTTCTTGATTTGGCTCTCTTTAAGTCTGTTATAGGTGTATAGGAATGCTTGTGATTTTTGCACATTGATTTTGTATCCTGAGACTTTGCTGAAATTGCTTATCTGTTTCAGGAGATTTTGGGCTGAGACGATGGGGTCTTCTAGATATACAATCATGTCGTCTGCAAATAGAGACAATTTGACTTCCTCCTTTCCTATTTGAATACCCTTTATTTCTTTTTCTTGCTTGATTGCTCTGGCTAGAACTTCCAGTACTATATTGAATAGGAGTGGTGAGAGAGGGCATCCTTGTCTGGTGCCAGATTTCAAAGGGAATGCTTCCAGTTTTTGCCCATTCAGTATGATATTGTCTGTTGGTTTGTTGCAAATAGCTTTTATTATTTTGATATATGTTCCATCAATACCTAGTTTATTGAGGGTTTTTAGCATAAAGGGCTGTTGAATTTTGTCAAAGGCCTTCTCTGCATCAATTGAGATAATCATGTGGTTTTTGTCTTTTGTTCTGTTTATGTGGTGAACATCCTTGAACACTTTTTAAGTGTTTCACTCCAGACTCTTCTTGCCTGCATGGCTTCTGAAGAAAAGTCTGATGTAATCCTTATCCCTGTTCCCCTACAGTTAAGATTGTCCCACTCTCTTTCTGGCTTCTTTCAGGATTTTCTATTTTTCTTTGATTTTTCTACAGCTTGAATATGATATGTGTAGATGTAGATCTTTGTAATATTTATTGTGTTCGGTGTTCTCTGAACTTCCTTGACCTGTCGTTTGGTTTTTGTCATTAATTTTGGAAAATACCCAGCCACTATTATTTCAAATATTTCATTTTCTATTCTTCTCAGTCTGGTATCCCATTACACATATGTTACACCTTTCATGATTGTCTCACAGTTTTTCAATATTCTGTTTCCTTTTTTTCTCTGTTCTTCTTGCTTTTCTTTTTGGGGAGTTTCTGTTGACATATCTTCGTGCTCTGATTATTTCCACAGCTATATCCAGTCTACTAATGAGCCAGCAAAGGATTCTTCATTTCTGTTACAGTGTTTTTTATTTCCAGCATGTACATTGATTCTGTCATAGAGTATCCACCCCCCCCACCCCACCCCTGGCTTATATTACCCATCTGCTCTTGCATGTTGTCCGCTTTTTCCATTAGCCTCTGGAGCATATTAATTGTAGTTATTTTAAGGTCCTGGTCTGTTAATTCTACCCACAAGATGGCAGCATCAGCCATCTTGTATAGTAGATTCAAGCATGGACTTGAGATAGATTGCCTGTATTTGAATTCTGGCTCTCCTTTTCAGCTGTGTAATTTTTTGCAGGGTACACAAATTCTCTATACCTAAGTGTCCTCATTTGTGAAGTAGGAATACTTACAAAATCCACCTCATAACATTTTTAGGAGAATCAAATGAGTTAACATGTGAAAAGTACTTAAAATAATTTCTGACACAAAATAATCCTTTTGTATATGTGAGTTGATGATGATATAGTCATTTGTAAATCATGCCAGCACACTCCCATTTGAGACCTTTCCCCTTGCTGCCCTTCCTCAGATGCTTCCCCGATTCCCATGCCACTGGAGTTCTCCTTTCATTCAATCTCTATGAGTGTCACCATCACAGTGAGACCGTCTCAAGCACCATGTATAAACACACGGTCCTTCAGAAGCTGCTGATCCCCAACCCTGCTGTGTTACTTTTCTATAGCAAGCATGATGATCTGACGTATATTTACCTGCTATTTTTTGTTGATTTTTGGCCTGCTTCAACTTAATGTAGGCCGCATAAAGTCAGGGTCTCTCTTCAAATTTTAAATAATTAAAATGTTTTTAGGGCAGTTTTCTCTGCATGCACATAAGGAAGTACTGTGTTGCCCCTTACATTTATGTTTTCTAGGAACATTTAGTAACATTGGAAAATATTTATATAACACTATCTAACCTATGCAAAAGCAGCCATGGACAGTATATAAGATTTAAAGAGATTATGTGAGCAGATCAGGGTCCACAGTGTAGGGGATGGCACACGGACTATGCCCACCTATCTGAGTTCACAGCCCTCTTCTCTAAGCCACGTGTAATGTTTTTTAACTTTGTCTTTCAGTATGAATACTTCAATGCTGTGCTGATAAATGAAAGGGACAAAGACGGGAATTTTTTGGAGCTGGGAAAGGAATTCATCTTAGCCCCAAATGACCATTTTAATAATTTGCCTGTGAACATCAGTCTAAGTGATGTCCAAGTACCAACAAACATGTACAACAAAGGTAAGACTCCCAGATGCTGCTCTTTTTAGAAGGTGAAGAGTCAGGGGGTTGAGAAGCAGGGGCTGGCTGGTTTGGGATATCATTTTTTAATTTTTTTGAAAAGTACTTACAAGCTGCGTTGTGTCAGGTATCAACTAGATAGATGAAGCATGTACCTGTTTTGCCTGGAGCTTCTGGGCTTGCTGTTTCTCTGGCTAGTTGTTTATGTCAGGCTCGCTAACAATTGGTCCAGGGGTTGCCAAACGTTTCTATAAAGGATCAGATAGTAGATATCTTAGACTTTGCCAGCCATAGAGGCTCTGTTGCAGCTACTCAGCTCTGCTGTTTAGGTACAAAAGCAGCCATATGTAAATCAGTGGGCATGGCTGTGCACCAATAAAATTTATCTACAGAAAGAGATGGCTGGATGTAACCTGCAGGCTGTAGTCTGCTGACTCCTGATGTAGTGCCTTTGTTTCCTTCTTCCGGTTTCTAGAATGGCATTTAAGGGTTGGGGAGCTCCCAGGGGCACAATGGAAACAGCTATGGTCTCTTCTCAGAGTACAAAGTAGCATGGACCTTAACAGAATTCCTTATTTCCAGGCTTGTATGCCTCACATCCAGTCTTCACCTAAACGCTAGAGTTTATTTTTCCCAAGGTTCCCATCTGCCTATTCCAGTTGGAATTATAGTGGCCAAGGACTGGGCTCGGAGGACTCTGGTAGGGCCATGTGTTCTACTTCTTTCTGGCTGTGACCTTGGGCATATCATTTCATCTTTTTAGGTCTTAACTTTCTCATCTTATGATGTGAGTAATAATCATATCTACCTCATGGGGGTGGTTGTGAGGGCTAAATGGAATGATGTTTATAAAGCGTTGGTTTTCAGCATCTTTATCTATTGTTATTGAGTAGTAGTTTGCTCTACTTTGTCATACCTAAAAAACTTCTAAACAAAGAGTTTGCCTCCTAGAAAAATAAGCCAGAAAGTCATAGCGTATTCAAAGTAAAAAATGTGCTGCATTGTCTCCCATCAAGGTTTCAAAGATATCAGGGGCCAGTTTCGATCACAGCATTCCGTTTCCAAATCATATACAAGAGCTCAGTAATCAAGAGCAAGGGCTATGGGTTTAAGTCCTGTTCTTCCCCATGTAGGCTGTGTGATCTTAAGCAAGTAACTTTGCCTTTCTGAGTCTCAGTTTCTCTTTTTGTAAAACAGGGATAATGTTACTGCCTCCCTCAGAGGGTTAGCGAGAGGATATTAAACAATGCGTGTGTACCCCTTAATACAGCAGTAGAACACAGAAAGTGCGCAGTGCATTTTAGCTGCCATTGTTTTTATTGGAGAATGACATGAATACAAATTGCACTTCTGAATTGTTCTAAGTAACTATTTAAGGAGCTTGGTCAATGATTAAAGAGATTCCAACTGACTGTCTCTGAAACATTTTCCTTGTGCCTGATCTTTGTAGTTGGATACCTAATGTCTCCTTTTCCTGGTTTATCTGTTATCCATCCTTAAGAGTCACTGGAGGCAGCACCCCATTCATTAACTGTTCTTATAGTTACTGGGGATACAGAGGTGAATCAGATGCAGCCCCTCCCTCAAGGGGTTTGCAGTTCATTTGGGGAACAGGCAGATAATGAGATAATTAGAACAACACGTATCACATATTGGCCACAGTGTGGACAGCCAGGGGACATTGAGAGTGCCAAGAATGGGACCTGTCTGCTTGTTCCCATTGGCAGGGCCGCAATTCATCTTTTCCCCTTTTTTTCTCGTAGAGAAAGTGATGTCAGTCTAAAATCCCAGAGGGCTCTGGACTGGGTCATATGCTATACCCTGCTCTTTACTCTGGGCTCTTCCTTGGAAACAAATGGAGCCAAGACGTAGAGGGCTGAGCTCAGCTTTGTTCAGTGGAGTTTAGTTCTCCAGAATGACCCTGTCAGCTGAAGAAGTCCTAAACGAAGCTGCCCGTTTTTGTGCATTGTGGCCAGAAGAAAGCCATCTTCTTGGCATAAATATATTCCTAACTGGAGATAAAAAGTTAACAAGATTTTATGGAGTAATTTCAGACATAAAACAATTCAGAATGATCTTTTAAAATATGACAGCTGCTTCAAGGTTGCTTGAGCCATTAACACCATTATAGACATTTAATTGCACCTCTAGCTTTAAAGACATAACTGTGCCCTTTAATGGTAGGAACACATAAGGGACCCACACCACCATTGATCACACAGGCTATAGAATTATGCTTGTAAGAATCCCTAGACAGAATCGTCAGAGATGGATTTCTTGAGCCACGGGAGGTAGATAATGATACTCAAATTCTCAGCAGCCCTCCTGGGACCTGCCCATCACCTCTGCCCAGTCCATTGTCACCCAGCCAGGCTGCGGGGCATGGATCAGTGTCAACCAGGTGTTGTATTTTGTCTCAGCCAGGCAGTGAATCACTGCCCAAGGGCAGAGGAGAGGCAGGGACTTCATGCAAATTCCTGTCTTCACTCTACCTAATTTAAACCAGCCCCTAACAGCCTTTTTGTCTTTTCAAGCTGCAGAAATATATTTTATGTTTTGAAGGCCCTCCAGCTCAGATCTAGTTATTGATGACAGGTACTCAAAACAAATGTTCAATGATTGGTCACTGGCTGTGCTGTTTTTGGGTTGGAAATCTTACCCACAACAAAGAAAACCAATACAAGCTCATTCTGTCCTAGCTGCCTGGACTTCTGTGGGCACACGACAAAGTGGTTTGATAATTGCTTAGGAGCTGTGATGCTCTGTGTTCTTGGGTATAATTTCTAGTCCAAGATGAAACTAGTTGGTAAACTCTACCTGCTTTCTACAATCTGCTTTCTGCCTCCTTGGCCGGGCCTGGCAGCTAGGCTGTTCAGCTGGGTTCATGCTTTCCTGTCTGGCTGAGGTGCCTTTCTCTTAAGTACGAAAAGAGACTACAGCTTCAAAGTTGGTGACGTGGGCAAGCTGTGCCCATGGGAACTCAAAAGCCATTTTCATAGAGTCTTTAGAAATATTTCTCAGGGCCTTCATGGTGCCTGATGCAGCAACTTTTTTTTATGAAACTCTTTCAGCAGATGTTTGCTGAGTGCTGCTCTGGCATCCCCAGCCTGTGAGTCTTACTATTTCAGGGACTTTGAAGATGAATGGCTGATACCTTTAGAGCCATAAATGACTCCACATCCTTCACGAGTAAAGCATGAGGCAGGATGCTTTTGCGAGAACTGCTGATGATCTGGCAGATAATTCAAATAAAGATGAACTCTTTTAAGGACTTTCTAGGCTGAAGTGCTGTAAAGTTTATACACACACACACACACACACACATACACACCCATATAGGTACATATATACATACGCATTATATGTGTGTGCATGTTTCTGTGTATGGGCAGGTCTGTGCGTGTGAGTTTGTATACATGTGAATGTGTGTGAAAGAAAATGCTGTGCTCTCAACCTATTCTGTCATTTCCATTTTCCACCTGTGTCCAGCCAGGTGAGACCCCTCACTTCTGTTCACTGAACACAACTTCTTCTTTCTTTCATTGTATTTTATTTCACTGTATTTATTCCCCGCAGCCTCTCATCACCTGGCCAGCCCTCGCAGCCTCCATAATTGCCTTTCCACAGAGGAGCAGCTGTACCCTCTGCTGCCACTTCAGCTGGGATCTGCCCAACTCGCTCTGCTCCACAGCCCCCTTGGACAATAAGCTCCCTCCATCTGGGAGTCCCAGTACCTACTCACCTGCTAAAGGCCCCCCTTCTAATGCCATCACCTTGGTGATTAGGTTTCAACATACAACTTTTGGAGGGACACAAACATTCAGACTTGCGTCCTGGGTGGACAGCATGTGCTGTGCACCCCTCTGAGTGTTTAATCCTCTGCACAATCCCTCAGGCAACTCACTATGATTGTCATCTCCAGCCTACGGATGAGGAAAACGAGGCACAGATATTTTATGCAGTCACAGCCGTGAGGGTAGGGCAACCGTGGGGAGTGGGCCCTGGTCAGGTTGGATGTGAGTGAGAGCTCCAGGAAAGGGAAGACCTGTAACCACCACTGCAGGGCACAAGAAATCAATCTGTCTATTATAATCCAGTAGGTTCTAAAAAGCCCAAGGAAAGGGCAAAGGTCTGATGAGACGGGATTGGGTCCCCTGCTTAGGAGCAGAGGATGCAGGCTGCTGGAGGGATGGGCAGGCTTGCTGAATTTGGATTTGTCAGATGTCTCAACCTATTTTTCAAATGTTGAGTTTGATAAAACACAAAATGCATTTTGCCAAGCACTTTTCCCCTTAATTACATGTGTATATTTTAAGGGAAATTTAATCCATATGTTTCTGATTTGTTTATACGGAAATCATTAAAATGTTGTTTTCCAAGAGCTATTTGATGTGCAAGAAGGCTCACAAACCTTATAAAAAGCTGTTTAAATTTTTTTTGCTTTCCCTTTGTTTCTATTCCCTTCATGTGTGTGTGTGTTTGAGAGGGAGGGAGAGAGAGAACGCACACACATAAGTGAACAAGGGTGACTGACCCCAGGACGTCAGAAACAGATTCCAACTCGAAATGGATTTTCTTCTTGGGATTCTGAACTGAAGCATTTGGATTAGGCTCAATCTTGCTTCCTTGTTGTTTCCCAGCCCTAATGGAATGTGATGGTGATGTGGCCATAACTTGGTCTTGGGAGTCAAGATCAGGGGACTCCACACGGCTCTGGACCTGGAGAAATAACACTTAAGAACCTCCTTCCACATGGTCTGTTGCTACCTACAAAGGGCCCAGGGAGCTTTCCCAAGATGTAGTTTGGATCCCAGGAACCCCTGTTCCAGCAATGTGAGCATAATAGGACTAAGGTATTTGGTAAGAAACATACAAAATAGTGCCACTGAAGTGACTCCGTAGCTGTCATCCCAAACTACTCATAATTTGTCCTCTTCTAGTTTGGAAATTGTATTTTTATATCAAAATAACTATCCCTGACTTAAAATTCACAAGTTGAG